CGATTACAGTAAACTTCTACAGTTCATCTCCTTCCTTCTCTCTTTCTCTCTCTCTCTTCCTCTCTCACTTTTCCCTCCCTCTCCTTCTTCCCTCTCCGTTCTCGCGCTTTTCTCTCCTCCTTCCTTCCTTCCCTGCTATTTCTCCCCTCCTTCTCACTATATTTATCTATCTCTCTCTTATACTCTTTTCCTTTCTTCCTCTGTCCACGATTAACTCCCACTATACCACCCATAACTACGCCCTGCATAAACATGATTGTAGTGCAATTTGCAAATTATCAAAGAACGATGTCTATGAATACTCTGTGCTAACCAAGAATTTAGGCAATTCTTCTCAATTAATCTCATATGACAATCAATCAAATGAGTATTTTTCTTGAACTTTTTTTTTGCTGAAGCTCTCTGCTCAGGATTTTTTTATTTGTCTCGTAATACTATCTTGGCACAGTTTGATCCTTCGACATGATGATGCTTTGTGTGTTTCCTTCTTTCTCTCTCTTGTATTCTATCTCTTGCTTCCTCTCTCTTTTCTCGAGAATATACCTTCGTTGATTTAAGGAAGTGACTTTCGTCGTGCGACTCGCAACGATAATTACGCGAGGGAAACTGCCATCGAAGGGTAACGCCCGTGCAGACATCGCAGCCGGTTTGTCCCCGGGAGCCTGCAAGCTCCATAATCGCATGCTTCCCGGAGTCGACCTAAGTGGAAACGAGAGCGACCGGGCCCTGAGGCCCGGCGCCGTTCGAAGCACAAAGACGACGTCGTCTGATCGTTGAGTTTAGCTTTCGTTTCGTACGGATATTGATAAAAATAACCACGGTAAAAGAGCGATTTCGCGCGAAAAAAGCGCTCGATTTCAAGAACACGACACTACTATCAACAACTATGCACGCCGGCCGGCCGCTGTGCACGTACTGAAGTACTGGACCCGAGCGCTGACAAGTAGAAAGAGAGAGAGGAAGAGAGAGAGAGAGAGAGAGAGAGAGAGAGAGAGAGAGAGAGAGAGAGACTCATTCGGTCGACGCTCGCGACCTCGGTCGTGCTCGGCTATCTTCGTATCCTGTGCTTTGGCCCTGTTCGCCGCGCAGCCACGTTACTTCCCGGCGATCTCTCCCTCAGCCGCCCGACATCGTCAATATACGACAAAGGCTTCCAAACGAGAGAGGCTCTCACTATGCTGCGAGCTCTTGCCGCGAAAAGCTGGTAAACGACGTTCTGCCATTGCCGCGTAGAAAGGGAGGGAATCCGAGGAGCGCACGAGGAGAAAGGATCAATAACAGATCTCTCCCTACTCTCGTGAAACACGACGTAGGGTAAATGTGCGCGATGTACGCACGGCATTTACATATGGATAGACAGACAGGCGCACCCTGTCAACAGCTCATTTTCCTGGAGCAAATTTGCATGCTCCTTTTTGTTTTTGTAAGACAGGTGGAAATACATTTATCTCACAGTCTTACGAGATTTTGCGAAATCACGAAAGCGACAGTAGTATAAATGACACTTAAAAAGATTTCAATTGTGAGCAGTGTTTTAAAGAATTTTTATGAAAAATTTGGAAATTAAGTGTTGTGACATAACTTACATTCTTTTTGCAATTCCTAGGAATATATATATTTCTCCGGAGGATATATATACATATATATGT